TATCCCCCTTTTTATAATTTTGTCTAGTTCAGACAGTCTGCACTATTATTTGTCTCTTTTGTAATTACAGACCAGTTTAGCATGCTTTTTTGGCAATTATTTGTTTGTATTCTGTACATTTTTTTTTTTTGTGTCACTGGGTTTAAGTGCTGCCATACTGTTTGTACTATATTTTTTTTATAGCGCTTACACACCGTTGGTTCTACACGAGGGGATTTACCCGGTACCACAATCACTCCAGAGGGGGTATCCGCCACAGCACAGGGTATCCAAAGCCAGTGTCTACCTCAGAAGAGGAATGGACTTGTCCCTCAATAAAGCTGCAGCCTGTGGAACGGTGGTGCAAGTTTACATGCAAACTGGGGGCTGCAGAAGTGCCCAAACCTGGCATGGCTCCACAGCTACACACCTGGACATTCCTGCCCACATGCCAACTATGCCACTTGCAGGGATAGTTTAACTCATAGCCAAAAAGATACTGAGCGCAATTCTAGTGGTTTAAGCAGGTTCATAATTCACATGTAGATTCATATATCAGTAAAAGACATACCTTACCATCAAGACTATGCAATATCACTAATAAAAATATTAAGAGGGAATGGGTCAAAGTACAGATCCCTGAGGTACCCCACTGGTGACAAGTCCAAGCTTCGAATATATTCCATTGACTACAACCCTCTGTTGCCTGTCACTCAGCCACTGCCTTACCTATTCAACAATATTGGAATCCAAACTTAAATATTGCAGTTTATTGATAAGCCTTCTATGTGCAACAGTGTCAAAAGCCTTACTGAAATCTAGGTAAAATCATTGTTTGGCAATAATATTAGTTTGGCATGATCTCCCTGAAGTAAACCCATGTTGTCTCTGATCTTGAAATCCATGTGTTTTTAGATGTTCAACAATCCTATCCTTTAACATGGTTTCCATCACTTTCCCCACTACTGATGTAAGGCTTACTGGCCTATAGTGAGCCTCTATGTTCACCTCATTAACTTTTATTAGGCTAGATTTTATGCTATTCTTCACATACAGGGCCACCCCTCCCCTTTCTTGCCTTCCCTGTCTTTTCTATATAAATAGTACCTTGGTATTGCTATGTCCCAGTCATTTTTCTCATTATACCATGTCTCAGTAACAGCGACTAAATCTACACTATCAGTTGCCATTATTGCCACAAGTTCATGGATCTAATTCCCTAAACTGTCCTTCGAACTCCCGAAGCAGCACTTCGAACTCCCAAACTCTCGAAGCGGCATTCGAACACCTAGCGGCAGCCATCTTATTTTGTCGAAGTGCATGGAACTCAAATCGGACACTTGATGGCTCGAATAATGCTGAATTCTTACTGTCCATGGATGTTCGGCTATTCGAATGGGAGTCGAACAGTGTTCTGTGGGAATATACCCTCGAACGAGAGACCTAACCTAAGACTACTCCCGAAGCTGTAAGTTCAGTATTTTATGTTTTACTTTGAATCCCAGAAGTGGACCGACCGCACAGCCTAATTCTCTGAAACTGTTTTGGGCATGGGACCATGCGTGCGGTCAGTCAAAATATGACTTACATAAAATTCCTGTACCCCTGAACTGATATGGGTGATTTTTGGATATGTTGGTCACCCAGATCAGGGCTATCAGGGGATGTAACAGTTGTGGGGATATTATGTATTTTTTTTGGTACTTTTGGGGTTTTGTAAAATATGTGTTTTTTCTGCCTGGAGATAATTATGTTAATACAATATCTCACTCCATTATCTCCCAGGCAGAGGGAAGGGACTGTATGTTTGTTATGGGAGTGTCCTACATTGTAACTCTGTCATTATTGGTTTGTAATTTTGTATTGTAGTCCCCAACAAGGTCCATGTGGGTTACCCCTTGCATGGGGATTGTCATATAAGGCCAGGTGTGGCACCATTAAACCAGTTCCAGTTTTACCCTCTGTAGCGGACTAGCCCCTGTCCAAGTGTCTGCCTCGGTTTCCTGGAGGGGGCTGCTTGCTCATCTCCTGCCCAGTGATTATCGTCCCGGGAAGACGGGACCCTTTAAACACCATGGCTGGGCCTAATGGGATTTTTGTATGGCACTACTGGCCCTTTAAGAACCAGCCAAGGGCATATAATATAATATTGCAGAGACTTTGGACAATATTAATTATGCAGCACAGGACATTGAGCTGTCTACCAAAATTCGTGTATTTTAAAATGCTTTTGTGTATTGCTATTCCATGTATTCACATTGTATGCAGCATTCTCCTGATTGTTTGGTAAAATCACTCCGTTTACTATACTAGCGAAACTACCAAACAATCAGACCACCCCAGGGATAAGTGTGCCTCTCATTACCGTGCAACAATGTTGCAAACCCCTAATTGACAACCATTACTTTGCTCTATGGGTGGCCGCCATTCGGGAGTTTTACACGTGGCGGCGGCCATCTTAATCTCCCAGACAACAGTGTTTTGCCGTCGAGTGTCTGGAACTAAAATCGGACACTTGACTAGGCAAACACCGCTGAGACCTCCAGACTTCCATATATTTGTGCCGAAACTACCAAACGAGCCGCCGTTCGGTAGAAAGACTAATGCAAACACGGGGATTCACACGAACACCAGAATAGCCATGGATGGCAAACATTTCATGACTTTTATCCCGCGAACTGAGACCGACCGCAAGGCCAAAACTTATGGAACTATTTTCGGATACTGTTGCCTGTGCGGTCGGTCAAAACTTTACTTGCCCATAACTGCCGAACCCCTGGTCCGATCTGGGTGATTTTTGAGTATGTTACTCACCCAGATCAGGGCTATCAGGGGATACCCTATTTAGGAGTGTACCCCATGTATTTGGGGTACATCCAGGAACTGGGGAAATACGTTACACGGATTAAGTGCATTATGTGTCATGCTGAGGGGAGGAGATGTGTGGGAGGTAACATGTATTTTATTGGTTACTGTATTAATTACTGTGGGTGTCTCCCTTGCATGGGTGAATTGCTTAAAAGCAGGCATGTGAAATTAAACCTCAGTTCAGTTCTGTTTCTAATGCTGTGTGTCGTCCAGTCATTGGGAAAGGTGATGGGATATTATTTGATTGCCTTGCTGATTGTGCTTGCTACGCTGTTGGATTATTCTTTTAAGGTGGATGTTTCTCCAGGGGTTACTACTTGTTCCTGAGCCACACCTGGACTACCAGTGGAAATAGTCTGTGAGAGACCAGCGTTCCGCTACACCCTCAACATAGGGACCTGCTATACAAGCTATAACCACTAGCTCTTGTAAGAGCTTTACAGCTATACTCTCTTGGAGAAGAGGGTGGGAAGGGACGGCGAGACTCCAGCCAAGCTGCGGCGCCTGGGGGTCTATGGTGGTTATAATGGTCAGTGTGGTGCTTATGGTCCTCAGCATCTGCTAGGAAGCATCAATTGGCGGAGGCACCTAGTCGGGGTGCCAGGCGGTCCGTCACACAAGGCCATAACTAAAACGTAAGGGTGCACATGTCATGGGAAATTCCCTGACTTAGGACAAGATGGCATGTTAAAGTCTGAACATCTTTATCTATTTTGGGTTACTGCAGTATATTATGTACTGAAAGAGTTGTAGCATAGCCTTAAAGATTGTTTATGCATTATTGTTATTGTATTTCGTCTGGGACAAAATGGAGTAAACATATTATGCACTGAAAGTAGGTAAAAGGTTATTGCTTACAAAACATTTATGAAAATCAATATGTTCCATTTCTAACACCTTGTCAGTTTGCAATATCTCTTAAAGACAAAGTACACAGTTTAATAAATACAGTATTTGCATTTGTCCATAGCATAGTGACAGGCATATATGTTTGTAATCCTGTCACTATAGTGTTCCTTTGTGAAAATGTAAGGCCCACTTTTATTCATGTAAAACTCACAGGTTGAAAAAAGTTGACAAAGGCTGAAGCTTTATTCAAGCTCCACTGCCTTTTCAACTTTGTCATTGGCTTCTCATTCAAGTACTCACCTTCCTCAAGTGTCAGGTTGCGGCGCATCACTGCTCCTAAATATTGACTCTTGCACATGTCCAACTGTAGGCAGTTATGACAACTCGGAAGAGGAAAAAGGAAAAAGACCCGGAGGGACCAATGTTCCATTAGTAATGGTAAGTAAAGCTGGTCCCTGCATCTGGAAGTACATGAGGGACAATCAAGAGATTGTCATGCTTTCCAGGACTTTTCAGTAGCAAGTTGCGCTGTTGTGGTTCTTGTATGCCCAAGAGTGCACTTTATATATTTTGGATTTATTGTTACTGATTTTGACTTGTTAATCGTTTCTCCACTCTTTGTGTTCCTGACCTTGACTTGTCTTACTGTTTATGCTGTACTCTCCTACGTTTAATCTTGGCTTTCTTCATGACTACTCTTTACGTTAAATCCAGCCATTCTAAGTCCCGGTAATACGTTCTACCTCTTCTTTAGCAAATTGGGGTCTGTACATTTTGAGTTCTCCTACTCTAGCTGTGAAAAGGATCCACTGGGTACTTCAAAAGAAAGGTTAAGGAATGCATTTTACATTAAGGATCCATTGGGTGACAGAACCGCTTTAAAGAAGGTTATCAGAAAATATACAAAAAAATGCAATGGCAGCTTGCAAAGTGATAATGGGAAAGGTAACTTTTAGTTTGAAAAAAAAGCTAAAACAACTTTAGATACCTTAGAGAGGATATGATAGCACTATGAAATTATATATATAAGGATACCACATACAACTCTCTCGTAACGTGTTGATTAACAGTAATGTACTGTTGACAAGAGGTGAGTGTGGCAGATCCCACCAAAAACACTGCTAGAACTTATTAAAAGACTATAATGCTCCCTGTTCCCCCTCCCCTCCATGAGTTACCAGCAAGCTCCTCTTAGGATTTCTGTATCTGTGAGATAATTTATCTAGCTAGAGATAACACAATTATCTTGCAGACACAGAGATGCAAGAATGGAATTGCTAAGTAATAATCTTGTGAGTCAGTGCTTAAAAGGCTGCATTGTGTTGATTAAAATCAGTTATTCTTTCCAGCATCATGTGTTGCCTGATGCCTGTGGAAAGGGGTTATAAACACTAAATGGCTCTTATTCTAGCTGAGAGGAAATTCCAGCAGCTGTATTCCTGCAGTCAGGATACTGAGGCTCCACTACAGCAAGAAACTTGAAGAAAGTGATTTCACCCCTACAACAGAGAAACATTTTTGTTTTTTTTAAATTAAGAATAATTAAGAAACAGAGAAGATATTTTCCTTTTTGTAGCACAACTGGAAATTGCTTCATTTTGGGTTGATACTGGATTTACTTTTTTTTAAACATAGCTTGCTACGTAGCTGTGCAACTGTCTGAGAAGATTTAACTTCTACATAGTTCATAGACAAATGGGTGATTGTAGATTGCAGTCCTTGAGGTTTGTATAGGCCATTTGATGAAGTGATAAACATCTCTGTGATTAAACACATTTAGCGTGACTAAAATGGAAGCTCAGTCAGTCAGTGATAGAGGTAAATTGCATACTCATTGATGTATAGCAGGAAAAAAAGTTTCTGTTAAGTCTCTTGATATAAGCGCTGTAGTGCAGAGCCAGGTCATTGACTGAGAATGTCAACTGATCACTCTCAGTCAATGAAGTAAACCTGCATCACAGGGATTAACTCCGAAAGAGAACTTCCAACTCTCTGAAGGCTGTCTTGGAAGCAGGGAGCAGTGCACAGCCAAGTGAAACCATTCTACAACAGTTCCAATTCCTTACATCTAGGGGGAAGCCAGGGCACTCCTGACAGAATAACCACTACAGCAAGCTGTAGTGATAATGGCTCTTGGAGTGTTCGTTTAAAGCTTCAGTCAAAGTATGATAAGCAATTTGCATTATTACAACACCCTGAGCCCACTCTTTTTACTGAAAGTGAGCTTTAGTAGCATCAATTTTTAAAGTTATTTAGTAAATAACACAGTAAATAAATAAATGGGTTTACCTTCAAAATCCACAAGACCATCTCCATTAACATCCACATCCCTCAAAATCTCATCTACTTCACGTGGTGCTAGCTGTTGTCCCAAAAGTTTTCTCATGGCCTCTCGGAGTTCCCGTGTGCTGATCCGGCCATCACCATTAGCATCAAACTGACAATAGGAGAAACTAATTAGAAGTGAGTGGTATCATAGATGTACAATTAAATCAATTTCAAATGTGTATAATATTTGTTTTATATCTTGGGTGGATGTTCCTGCATCATCTGGAATGCCAATACAGGTCCAACAGAGAGATGTGGAAAAGAGAAGTGAAAGGACAGTAGGCAGAAGAATGATTATAAATAATGGGGACAATGGATAAAAATGGAAAGATTATTCAGTAGCACTTGTGTATTATTATCTTATGTTCAGACCCCTGTATATTTTTCAGGAAGGCTTTTTATAATAACAGAATACCTCTCGGAATGCGTCTCGCAGCTCCTTCACACCTATCATGTCAGCTGTCTCTGCCAGAAGTTTGGGCCCCATTAGCTCCACAAAGTCCTCAAAATCAACTTTACCCCCTGCTGGAAGCAAATAATGAATTAGTGCATAATGTCAGCAATGTCACACCAGCCACTGACACATACAAGTACATTACCAGTCAGCATACCATTGATCCCATTGTCTCTATAAATATAATATATAAGGCTCATGTTGTATTTTGGGGTACTTTTTGGGGTTTGTAAAAAATGTATATTTTTTCTGCTTAGAGTTAATTGAGTTATTCCATTGTCTTCGTTAATTATATCACAGGCAGAGGGGAGGGATTGTGTACACTGTATGGGAGTGACTGAATGTAAGATTATTTTTTTATTGGCTTGTTGTTTCTGTGTCCCTGTGCCCCACAAGGTCCACCTGGGTGGTAACCTTGTGGGGAAATACTGTATAAAAGACCAAGCTGTTCAATAAACCCTCAGATCTGCTGAGTTCCTGTTTTAACCTCAACATAGAGCCTCATCTCATGTGTGGGGGGAAAGGCTGCATCTATTGCTTTATCACTATACTCCCCAGGGATCTCATCAGTAAGCTCTTTATCACTATACTCCCATCAGTAAGCTCTTTTAAGAGCTTGTTCCTGCTACTCTCTCTTGGAGGAGAGGTTCACCCACTGAAACCCGGAGCCTTGTTGTAGGTCCAGGGTGGGTAGAGGATGGCAAGTTCCCAGTCAAGCTGTAACGCTGGATGTGGGGACTGCGGTGCTGATGGTGTCTGGTGGAGTGCTTGGAGTGCTCGGTGAGCAATTGGAGCAACCGTCGGCGGAGGTACCCAACCGGGGTACAGGAAGCTTTGTTACACATATATACACATTAAAACCCACACTGACAACAGTTTGCATGCAACAAAATACAATCATTTTATCCTCCAGCATACATGTGCTAGCTGTGACTGGGAGAGAATAGGATCAGTCTGTGGAGAAGTTGTCCTTATTATTCTCAATTTTAAAAATACATTTATTTGTTGCTTTACAAAGATGCTTATGGTACAGAAGATGCTTGCTCTTTCATCCACTGGGCCACTGGACATTTGAACTGTAATAAGGACACTCTGAATGAACAGTGTTCACAATGTTGTGAGAAGATAACGTGTCATTGTGAGAAAAATTTAGTTGAGAGGGGAGAGAAGGGCAGCATGTAGCTGCTGGGAATTGTGTGAGATAGTCTGTCAGTATGTTTTGGTGGGTTGAAAGACAGTATTAGGGTTTTAATGTATTCCTGTGAATTGAATGTATAAGCATCTGAGAGGACATTGTTTCCTCAGGAGACCTGAAGCCCATCTGGATGTAAGATTAAGCAGATATTTTACAAATGTTATTTTCACCATATCAAATTAAAACTTTATTTGTTGGATTATAAAGTCCTGAGAGTGCGCCGATTTTTCACAAATTAAATTTTTCGGAACACACAGCACTGGAAAGCACCAAGGCAATTATCTGTAAGGTAGAATGCCATTCTTTTGTTATATTTGTTATATATACTTAAGTTATTTGACTTGATGAACTTTGGTCTACTTTCATTATTTAGCTCTGCTTGTAGGTTGAATGTAATACGGAAGGGGAAATCTGAAGTAGTGTGTGTCTTAAAATAAAGGGATAAGATGTTTTGTGGTTATATTGATTACATTATTGGACCTGACTAAAAACATAGAAACATAGAATGTAACAGCTGATAAGAAGCATTCGGCCCATCTAGTCTGCCCAATTTTATACTTTCATTTGTCCCTGGCCTTATCTTATAGTTAGGATAGCCTGATGCCTATCCCATGCATGCTTAAACTCCTTTACTGAGTTAACCTCTACCACTTCAGCTGAAGGGCCATTCCATGCATCCAGTACCCTCTCAGTAAAGTTATACTTCCTGATATTATTTTTAAACCTTTGCCCCTCTAATTTAAGACTATGTCATCTTGTTGTGGTAGTTTTTCTTCTTTTAAATATAGTTGATTCCCTTTATGTATTTAAATGTTTCTATCACATCCCCCGTCTTGACTTTCATCCAAGCTATACATGTTAAGTTCCATTAACCTTTCCTTGTATGTTTTATCCTGCATTCCATGAACCAGTTTAGTAGCCCTTCTCTGGAGATATGGTCTGCAGTACTGCGTACAATACTCCAAGTGAGGTCTCACCAGTGTTCTGTACAATGGCATGAGCACTTCCCTCTTTCTACTGCTAATACCTCTCCCTATACAACCAATCATTCTGCTAGCATTTCCTGCTATATCGTCTGCCTACCTTTACGTCATCAGAAATAATCACTCCTAAATCCCTTTCCTCAGATGTTGAGGTTAGGACTCTATCAAATATTCTGTACTCTGCCCTTGGGTTTTTATGTCCAAGATGCATTATCTTGCACTTATCCATATTAAATGTCAGCTGCCATAACTCTGACCATTTTTCTAGTTTACCTAAATCATTTGCCATTTGACTTATTCCTCCTGGAACATCAACCCTGTTACATATCTTAGTATCATCAGCAAAAAGACATATCTTACCATCAAGACCTTCTGCAATATCACTAATAAATATGTTAAAGAGAATGGGTCCAAGTATAGATCCCTGAGGTACCCCACTAGTGACAAGCCCATGCTTGGAAATATAGGTAAGCAATGTCTACTGCACCACCCTGATCTATTATTTTAGTTACCCAATCAAAAAATCAATAAGATTAGTTTGTAATGATCTCCCTGAAGTAAACCCATGTTGTCTCTGATCTTGAAATCCATGTGAACAATCCTATCCTTTAACATGATTTCCATTACTTTCCCCACTACTGAAGTAAGGCTTACTGGCCTATAGTTGTCTGACTCCTCCCTACTACATTTCTTGTGAATGGGCACAACATTCACTAGCTTCCAATCTTCTGTTAACAATGATTGGTTAAATAAATCTGTTAATGGTTTTGCTAGTACTCCACAAAGCTCTTTTAATTACTTTGGGTGAATTCCATTCAGGTCCCATTGACTTATTTGTCTTTACTTTTGACAGTTGAAATAGAACCTCTTCCTCTGTAAACTCACACGTAATAAATGATTAATTTGTCCTTTTTCCTAACTGAGGCTCCTTTACTTCATTTTCATCTGTAAATACTGAACAAAAATATTAATTGAGGCAGTCAGCTAGACCTTTATCCTCTTCTACACACATTCCTTCTTTTGTTTTTAATATAACTAATCATTGTTTTATTTTCCTTTTTTCATTTATGTATCTAAAAAATGTTTTGACCTCTTTTTTTACTGACTGTGCTATTTTCTCTTCTGTGTGTGATTTGGAAGCTCTTATAACTTGCTTAGCCTCTTTCTGCCTAATCTTATAGATCTGTATATCTTCCTTACTCAGTTTTTTTCATAATTACTAAATGCTAACTTTTAGTTTTTTTACTATTTTGACCACATCTGCAGAGTACCACAGTGGTTTCTTTTTTTTTTTTTTTTTTAAATCAAGTTTTTATTGAGGTATCATAAACATGTGGATGTGGCATGCAGGCCTTCGAAAATGGAATACAAGAAACAGAATGTTTAACTTTCAAACATAGTCTCGATACATGTATATAGCTAATATATTTTACAAAGCATGTGTAAACATTCTGTAGATTATGTACGATAAGCGAGTAAAAACAACTGTAGTGTAGCGAGAGGATCAGGGTAGTCTCCATTGCTTTAGTCAGGTGTATCCTGTCGTGTGTAAGCTTCAATTGCTCTGCCAATGTAATTATTGCTTATATTCTGTGTGGATATCTATTAGAGGGTGAAGGGTGGGTAGGTGTGGATGTGGGAGAAGAGGTTTGGGTTGGAGAATGCGCGGTGGGGATCCCCAATCACTCCCGGGGGTATTTGTGTCATTACCTTTATTGTGTCATGCAGCTTTTCCTCTCAGTGGGGAGCTGCAGGGTGGTTCCTTTGTGTGTCCCCTCATGTTTGGCTTACTGGTTGTGAGTTAGGATGCTTATTTCCTCCTTGCCACTCCAAGACATGTCCCGTACGTAGAGTGGGTTGGGGTCAGGGTAGAGTTCCCTCCATGCGTGTACCTTACATGAAACCCCAATTTGGTCTCCAGCCCTCATGGTTAATCTGGAGTGGGTGGGGCATGTTGGGTATGTTGGGTATGAGAGACCCAAGCGTTTTCTTGCTGAGGTTTGTTTGAGGGTGATGTGTGTGATGTGTGTGATGTGAGAGGTCTGAGATCCACTTGTGAAAGTTACTGTGAGTGCATCCTAGTGTCAGCTCTCTCCTCCGTCCCCCCCACCGCCCTCAGCTCCCCCCATCCAAGTCGTGGTTTTACGTAAGTGTCAAGTCTATGTGCTCACTGTAGGGCTACCTGTTGTATGTTCAGTATTCTGATGGGGTCATTAGATGGTTTAGGTCATTTAGCCCCCGTTCCGTTGTCCGTGCTCCCCTGCCCCCGCCACGCCGCACCCGGCCCAGGTGCGAGCAGGTTCCATCTATGGCCCCGCCCTGTAAGAGAACCATGGCCGCCATGCCTCCACGTGACTGTCTCCCCGTCCCAACAGGGATGCCCGGAAAGCCTCCGCTACCTGTATGTCCTCACCTTTTTGAATCCACTCCTGTGGGGATCTCCATCCTCTTCCAGTATATTGGCACAAGGGATTTGGTGGCATTAACCAAGTGTCGAAGAATCGATTTTTTGTAGTTAGAGATGGTTTGTGAGGAGATGTCTAACAGCGCCAGTTTGGTTGACCATTCCGTTTCTTCTCCTAGAATCGTCTGTATCTCTATCTTAATTTGGTTCCAATATGGGACAATGTCTCTGCACTCTCACCAGAGGTGTATCACTGTCCCCCTGTTCTTCTGGCATCTCCAGCATGTCGGGGGGAGTCCAGGAATATTTTGTGCAGCAAAACCGGGGTCCTGTACCAATGTGAGAATTTATAATTAACCTCTTGGTAGTGGGAGCTAGAGGAGCTCTTGTATTGCCATATTAGTGCCTTTTCCCATTGTGAGGGAGTGAAAGTTCTGTTTAGGAGGTCCTCCCATTGTCTCTGGAAGGTGGATGGAGGTTCCCCGCATGCATCGGACTTCAAACCATGTGAGGTCCCTGCCCAGATGTTCCATGTGGGGAAGCAAGGTAAGGTAATGTTTCAGTTGTATATAACGAAAGGATATCATTGTCGTCTGTGGTCTACCTTCCAGCAGCGACTCAAGGTTCTGTATTGTTCCTCCCTGTATGACTCTGCTTATTGGTATATATTCTTCGTTTCCGAGGAATCGCTAGGCATCCGCGAGGGGTCCCTCTCCTATGTCGGGATTAGGCATGACCGGGAGCAGGGGGCTAGGTGTTGGGGACACCTGCGGAGCCTCTCTGATCGAGTCCCATGCTTTCAATGTCTGTTGCACCGGATCACCGTCGTATCCACTGCCGCGGTACATTCGTCCCCTCCACACCTTCGACTTCAGGGTCGCTCCGTCTCCCTCTCTGTCCAGGGACACCCAGTGTTTCGGTGTTCCCGACGTGTGCCATTCCAGTATTCGCTGCAGGGTGGCAGCCTGATGATACTTCTTAAAGTCCGGCAAGGCCAATCCGCCTCTGTGACGGGGCTTGCATAATATTTCGTGACGAAGGCCGCTGACTTCAGGGTGGAGAAGAATAATAATGGTAGCACCATTTGTATGGTCTGAAATAAATAAAGTATCCGTGGGAGAACATTCATTTTCAGTACCGCTATCCTTCCATGCCATGTAATATGTGGAATTGCCCATTTTTCTAGATCCGCCACAATTTTTTCCAACAGGGGTGTAAAATTGTGTCTATAGATCGCCTGTGGGTCCGTGGCCGCCCATTTTTCTGCGCACCAGCGGAATGGGAATTCCTTGCTGAGATTGGCGTATTCCCTTGCTGGGACTGTAATGTTTAGTACCTCGCACTTAGTTAGATTGAGTTTGAATCCTGATATCTGGCCATATCGTTCAAACTCCGAGAGTAGGTTGGGCATCGTAATCCATGGGTTAGAAATGAAAAATAAGAGACCGCCTGCATATGCTGCCACTTTGTGTTCCATGTCCCCCCACTGATAGCCAGTGATATTGGGGTTTTGTCGTATTGATTGGAGTAGTGGTTCTAGGGATATGGCGAACAAGAGTGGGGACAGGGGGCATCCCTGTCTGGTTCCATTAGCAATTCCAAAGCTAGCGGTCATTGCCCCGTTAATGCTAACCATTGCCCGTGGTGATTTATATAGGGATGATATCCATGCTAGGGCCCGTTCTGCCATTCCCATGCCTCTCAGTGTTTGCAGTATATATGTCCAATTGACCCGATCGAATGTCTTTTCAGCATCCGTCAATAATAACAGTATGGATTTCAGATGTTTTCGTGGTGTTGGATCGATAAGAGGCGTAACGTGCTGTCTTGTGCCTCCTGGCCAGGGAGGAAGCCTGTTTGATCAGCATGTATCAGGCTCGGTAATATCCGTTGTATCCTTGTCACCAGCACTTTCGTGAATAGCTTTGTGTCCATATTTAGTAAGGATATCGGGCGATAGTTGCCACATTATGTCGAATCCTTTTTCCGGTTTGAGCAGGACCGTGATGGTCGCTTCCATCTATTCGGGTCCAAAGTGTTCAAAATCCGCTATGGAATTAAGAGCTTTCGCCAACCACGGCAGGAGGATCTCTGCAAAGTGTTTATAATACCCCGTGGAGAATCTGTCGGGTCCCGGTGTCCTGCCAGTCTTTGCATTCTTAAAGGCCCCAGCCAGGTCTTCGATGCTAAGTGGCTCTTCCAAGGAGGGCGCCACGTCACCATTCATGTGTTTTCAGATATTGGCCTGGATGGGCGTGGGGTTATCCACGCCCAGGGGAGGCTCCTCCTGTGCTGGGAGGCTATATAGGGTGTTATAATAATTTCGGAATTCGGAGGCAATCTCCTCTAGGAAAACCGTCAAGCTCCCCTTTGTAGTGCGCAACTTTTTTACTTGCGTGCGTGGTGTATTGCCCTTCAATAGATGGGCAAGGTATTTCCCCCCCTTATTCGCGTGGGTGTAGTAGAAATTCTTGGGGTATTGTAGAGAGTGGAAATGTCGCCGTATGAGGAGTACTGTCAGTTGTCGCTTTGCTTCCATCAGTTGTCCGTACGTGTTGACCAGTTGCAATCTCTTGTGTTGGAGTTCTAGGTGAGATATGGTCCCATATAGTTCGGTCATTTCCGCCATGGTTGCTTTCTTGTTACGTGTAGCAATGCTGATCAGTGAGCCCTGTATAACGCTCTTGTGGGCCTCCCAGATTGTTATAGGCTTGGTATCGTTCAACCCGTTGTCTTAATTATGTAGATCCTTACGGCTGAGTCCTGGAGAAGAGTTTCATTCAGATGCCAGGTCCGCATTGCCGGTTGGAATAGTGGGGACTCCATGGTGATGCGTACAGGTCCATGGTCCGACCAGGTGGCTGGGTCGATCGACGACGATCTCAAGCGGGACAGCCCCTCTTGTTGTATTAACAAGTAGTCTATCCGGGAGTAACAGTCCTGAAGAGCAGAATAATGGGTATAGTCCTTCACGGTAGGGTGAAGTGTCCTCCAACAATCCACCAGGCCCAGGTCTTGTAGCGATTTGCGTATGGAACGAATATTAAGTTGGGAGAGGCAGCTGTGACCTGTTGATGAGTCCAGTAGGGGATCCAGGGGGGCTTAAAGTCACCTTCAACGATCAACGCTCCCTCCGAGAAACCCTGCAATTTACCTAATGTCCCCCGGAGGTATTGTGTTTGTTTCATGTTGGGTGCGTATATGCATGCCAGAGTGTATATCCTGTCGGCGATGCTACCTTTCAGGAAGATAAATCATCCCTTGAAATCATGTGTTTCCTGCAGCATCGCTACAGTAACCTGTTTTTTCTTTAGTTCTCGCAGGAGGTGTGTTCTGCGTTCGGGGATGTTTAGTCCCCTGCAGTTGAGGGTTAAGATGGACAGGGGGGATTCTCGGTACGCCATGGGTCCCCCAGTAGCAACAGCCTGTCGACTGAACACCCGCCCCCTAGGGAACCACACGGATTGGTCGGCTGAGGAGGATTTAGGTGGGGTATGAGTGACTGCCTCCCTTCCCCTCCTTAATTCCAGTGGTCCAAGTTATGTGACAAGGGTACCGTTCGTGTGAGATATGATGATATTTCCCTTTACCTCCTTGTGCGTCAAGTTAGGGAGTCCCACGGGTCAAATAGGGTGGGAATCGGAGTGAGAGCGTACTGTGTGGTGTTTAGTTGGGTAGGGATGGGGAATGGGGATCCCCCTGAAGAACAAAATCTCCCTCAGATAGCGGGGGAGAGCAAGTTCCGTCGCCTCCCTTCTACGTAGAAGCAACACTCGTGCAACACTCGTGCAACGGCGAGAGTAGCCAGGGGCCAACCCGGTAACCAGCCTGGAATGTTAGCGTGCCTGGGACTCCGTTGTTTGTGTTTTGCATAAGTTTAAGGTGTTGGTTCTAGCCCGGGCCCGATACAGAGCACGTCCAGAGCTAGTGTGTTGTAAGAGTGTACGACGAGGTGGTTCCAATCCACCGGTACCCCCTCCAGGTGCGTAATTCTGCACAGGGCGCCACTTGAGATACAGAAATTCGTAGTAAATAGCATAAAGTTATAAGACAACTATTAATTAACAGTAACCAAAATTGAACCTTTAATAGCCTGTCCTTGTCGGCCTCCCCAATTGTCCTTCCGCCCCTTGCCCTGTTCCTCTGTTCTCCCCCTCCCAGGCCCCCCCTCGCCCACTGTTATGCCAGTATCTGGCCCCCCCACCTTTGGCCCTCCTGGCCCATCACTGCATTTACTTGGTTGATGAAAAATTCCTCACCCTCCTCTTGTGAGCTTTTATTGGGACTGAGAGTTGTGGTTTCTGTGCTGTATTGTTTACTGTTGTGGTGTGGTAATTTGGTTGCTTTTAGAATTTGGTTGCTATTCTGGCTCACAGCTTACTCTTTCCATCCCCTTCTTCCCCCCCCCCCCTTTTTTTTCTTGAGCTGTGTGGGCCATGGCTTAATATCCTATGTATGTGCTGTAAATAAACTTTGTATCTGCATCAAATGTGTTCCATGTGTCTGTACTGTGAGTGGTGTTCTCCTCTCTTGTGTGTGGTGTCGATATGCTCT